GTGATTTAGAAATATTTCAACATGGCTAGAAGTAAAAAGCCTCCCATTGTATCAGAAGTTCTAATAGAATTGTCGTTATAGCTCAGATGAAGTTTGGTGATTTACTGTCTCCTGCACTTATCCTTAAAACAAAACAAAACAAAACAAAACAAAACAAAACTTGTAGTGCATAAATAGTGAAAAATAAATCTTTCGACACATTGGATTTTGGTGTTTTGTGACTCAGGACAGACATAGTGATAAAATTAACAATGTAATTTTAACCCTGAGAATATGACCAGTTTATAAGTGTGATTTTACTTTAGAATAAGGGTTGGCAAGCTTCTTTGGTAAAGGGCCAGAAAATAAATATTTTAGGCTTTCTGGACCACATACTGTTTCTGTCACATATTCTTCTTGATTTGCCTTTTTTTTTTTTAATCACTCTTTAAAAATGTAAAACCCATTCTTAGCTCTCAGCCATTGTTTGGCGACTCTTGCTTTATAATGAAAGTGATTGAAAATTGAGCATCATTCTTTTATAACCTAATATATGCTGCCTACATTAGCTAGACGTATCATTAATAAATAGAAAAATACAATATTCAATTAGATAAAGGACATTCCTGGGAAGGAACTTCAGGTAAAAATCTCATTCTAACTAAAACCATTATGAGGCAATCTAATTTACAAGCATTAAGCAGTGTTTTCCTCATCTGTTTACAGTGAATACACTAGATCTTATAGAGCAATTCACTGTCACTATCTTTATAACAAATTTGTTGTTTTTTTTTTGAGTAGCCAGTAGTTGCTGAATTAACAGGGATTTCCAGCATCAGAAACAGGAAAGTTGAAAATGAGACATACTATAGATTAGCAAGAAGCAAGCAATAAAAAAAGTACTTTTGTAGATGAAGTCCTTTCTATACATGATCTAATTGGTTTCTATTTAAAAAATCACATGTAAATGAAACAATGATAATACTCCATCAAATTCACTGAAATGACTTCCTAGTCACATCTTTTCAGAAGCAAAACTAGATATGTAAGCAGTTAATAGTTTTGAAAACTTAAAATTTTAAAGATTTGACCAAAATATAAGTGAAAAATCATTTTCAACCACTGTTTCATAGGGTGGAGCTATCGGCCATAAACTTCCTCCATTTTATTCTGCTTACACGGAAGTGGACACTATTCTGTATGCCCTTGGAGTGGGAGCATCAATCAAGGAACCAAAGGATTTTAAATTTATTTATGAAGGAAGTTCTGACTTCTCCTGTTTGCCTACCTTCGGAGTTACTATAGCTCAGAAGTATCTATTCTCTGGAGAATTAGCAGAGATTCCTGGGCTTTCAATCAACATGGCAAAGGTATGCCTAATAAGAAACCTTTATTTTGCTTTTTTCTGTTTCTTTAAATATGATTGACGAATGTCACATCCTATGTGTGTTTTTGTGTGTGTATTAATAAAACAGTTTATAGTGGTTGATTCAGGAATAAAATTTAGCATGTCTTTTCATTTTTTCTTTTTAAGAATAAAAGAGAAGAGAATTAATTGAAAAGACAAGCAAAAAGAAGAAAATAGCAATCATATTCAGTCCCACAACCCTGGCATAATGTTATTAATTCTCTATCATTACTTGCTATTTGACCAAGAGTAAATAACCTCTGTAAACTTGGTTCCTTATCTATAAAAATGGATTTGATAATCCTTATCTGATGACAGTAGTGAAGGAGCAAGCCAGGTAATTATCAGGGGAAGAGTATTGAGGCAGGGAGAACAAGTGAAAAGGCCCTGAGGCAGTTGCATATTTGGCTTTTGTTTTTGAAACAGCAAGGGGGCCAGTATAGCTGCACAGTGAGCAAGGCATCAGTGGTAGGAGAAGAGTGCCTTGTACTCACTGTAAGGATTTCAGTTTATACTCTGGTTAAAGAGGGAGGCCATTTATAGCACTCTGAACTGAGGAGTGATATGACCTGGCTCTGTTCACTCGCAGGCTCATTTTTCCTTCTGTGTGGAGAACAGATTATATGAGAATGAAGCTTGGAAGCAAGGAAACCAGTTGGGAGCCTGTTATAGTAATTCAAGCAAAAGGTTAGATATGAGGAGAAAGAAAAAGAAGTGTAGGATGAAGGTTGAAGGTTTTGGGTCTGGACAACTGGGATGATATATATGCATATATATCGATACGTATTATTTATAATTACAACATATTTAATGAGTAAGGTGGTTACATATGACATTACTATGTATAATAGATATATACAGTTACATTAAGGTGAGGATAGATGATCAGGAGTTGGTTTTGGACAGATTTGTGATACCTATTACACATTCAGAGATATAAAGTGGGCAGTTGAATATATGTGTCTAGAGTTTGGGAATGAGGTCTAATTGGGTTCATAGGATTTAAGTGATACATAAAGACACGAACCTAGATGAAATCACCTAATGTGTGGGTGTAAGTAGAGAAAATCTTGAGTTTATGGACCCTGCATTGTTTAGTGGTTGAAGAGTTGTGTAGAAATTTCAAGAAAGACTGAAAAGCAATGGCTGGTGAGGTATGAGGGATGAGGTACAGCAGGAGAATTTAGTATTTGAGAAGCGAGATGAATAAATTGTTTCAAGAAGGAAGACATGAACAACTGTGAGAAAGTTTTTGAGGTGGGGTATATTTTATTTCTTGAGTAAGGTTCAAGTTATGAGCCCAGTAATAATTGTTGAATCATAGAGCTATGAGTCGATTTCTACAACTTCGATTGGATAACCCATTTACTACAGGTTCCATTAGCCCATTGCTGCTCGGAACTTACGAGAACTTATTTTATTAGAGTATTTCATGAAGTTGGGAGGGAGGCGAGAAATATGTGCAAGGCAGTTTACTGTTTTACTCATTCTCCCATGTGTTTGCTGCATATAATTCTGTTTGTATATAGTAAGTTCAAATAAAGCCAATATGTCAAAGTTGTCACTCAGATTTGTAAGGAGTGGGAAATCATAGATAGTGTTCAAAATCTGTGGCCAGGAATGATAGCCATCATGGAATTTGAATCTCAGTCTTCCCAACCTTGAGTTTCTAGGCCATACAGTGCAGTGAGGCAGTCCTTCATTTGTCCTCTCAGCACTGCCAGGCCCCTTGCCCCCTTTTTTTTTTTAACTTCTGGGTTCTGAGAAAGACTGTTAATGAAGACATCCCATGACAGTAAAGTGTGGTCATGTGAATATGTGGGTCGGATTTTGTTTTTCCTGTCTTATTGTTTTCCTACTATATTTGTATATTTTTGCTTTGAAACACTGAGGTTAAGTGGCTATGCAGTTACACAGTATTCTTAGTATACAGTCTTAGTAGGTAATTTTCAAGATTTTATGCTAAAGAAATGTTGACATTGATAGTGCTTTTGCTTTGAACATGGTTGTAAGGTTTCTATTTCTGTTTAGGTTGAGTTGTTTGTATTTGGTATGTGTGACCTGAAATTACTAGTACTTGCCACTTTGTTCATTTTTCTTCAATAGATATTTATTGGATGCCCACTATGTTCCAGGCACAGTGATAAGCACTAAAAATACAGTCTTGTTTAGTGGTTCTATTGGCAAATAATCCATAATTATCAGGCAACAAGGATTTATGAATGTCAAGAAAGACCACAAATACAAGATATCTTCTCTGTTCCAGAAGAGCTGACAGTCTTTAGGTTGGGGGACTGATCATTTCCGATTCATATGATTAAGAAATCAGAGCCAAATTGAGACAGATAATTTGGGAAAAGTAGTGATGTGAACATGTGGACGGTGAAATGTTACTTGCAATAAGCTATATCCAAAGGCAGAACAAAGGAAAAAGTGTGTACTAATAAAACTTTGCTTACCCTAATATAGATTCTTCATGGAGAGCAATACTTGGAGTTATATAAACCATTTCCTAGAGCAGGTGAGTTCTTGATACACTGATTCCATAATCACACCATAATTTTATTTTCTGGCGAATCTTCCAAACTGTGTCATGTCAGTGTGTTAAATTGACATACAGTGACCTAAATAAACTATACCAGAAGTTCTTTATGTGCTTGTCAGCCATTAGAGTAGGCTGATATTATCTAGTACCTGTTTTGGTTATCTTAAACTGTGTCCTTTAATAGTCTTATTTAATAAATTACTTCAAAATACTAATAATTTACTGAATGTATGAAAAGGAGCATTTCTGTGTGTGTGTGTGTGTGTGTGTGTGTGTTCTAAACTTAGTGATCGTGTGTTATCAATTATGATTCCTGTTAACATGGTTCCTCTTTCTCAGATGTTCATATGGATGCCGATTTTCATAAAGCAAACATTTGTGTAGTTAACTTTTTTCTATTTTCTATTAGAGTAAATAAAACTAAGTCCGCATTAATAATCAATTTTATTTTTCTGAATAATATCTTGTTCAGTAAAACTTAAAAAAATTTTTTTCATTATAATTTGATGAATTTGTTATGTTTTGATACTCTGATGTTAGAATATTGTCTAATTATATACTGGCCATATAAGGTGGTAAAATACAAAAATATCAGTTTATATTTTTTAATGTAGAGGTCAGTAAGTAGCTGAAATCCTACTTTAATTTTTTTCCTCAATCTTCTTATTTTATTAAAAAATTTATGAGATTCTTATTGCTTAAGGCTGAATAGCTTTATTTCAGTGTTACTATTACAGCATATGTTTTCACACAGCTCTTTTTAGCTGAGGCAGTGCACAGCGTGTGGTGACTACATTAATCAAATATCTGCTGCATACCTGCCACGTGTAACGCACAGTATTTGGTTTTAGATAATTTTCTTACCTAGCTGCATGTTAAAGTCATCTTTTATTACATTATATTATATTACTTTTTATTTTTAATAAAATATGGATTCGGGATCCCAACCCTGGAGATTTTGTGTGCATGCGTACATCATGTGTTCATGGTATGGTGGTGGCAATGGTGGAGGCTAGGAAGCTCCTTGTATATTTTGTATGCAGCCATCCTAATGGGTCAGTTTGAGAACCAATATGATAAGGGAAGTAAAAATGTATAATCCTTTAGGGATTTTAAATACAAAGAGAGAGATGCAACATTCAGAAAGAATTATGACTGAAAAGCAATGTGAATAGGAAGTTGTGGAAAATAGTTTTCTTAATTTCTTGTAACTCCTTAGCCTCAAGTTATGTTTATCATGAATTATTTTTCTTTAGTAGCCTCTGTGCATTTTTTTTAAGTTTTAAAGTTTACTTGCTAATAAGTATGAATTTTCAAAATTAAAGTACTTATGGTTTCGAACCTCTTTAAATTGCAGAAAACCAAGATTTGACTAATATTTATAATCTTTCTGTAAAACACCAATTGATGAGACACAAGACTTCAAGCATCAGGAGATTGATGTCAGTATCTATATCTCTTAATAGCTAATATGTTAGCTACAGTGGTACTATCATAGGCTAATTTACTGCTCCCTGTGGTGAAAATATAAGCACTAGATGCAAGAAACCTAACAGCAGCATTTTATTTTCCATCATGAACTAGGACATATTCTAGTCCAGGATATGCTGGTCCTTATATTTTCTGGGTTCAAAAGTTTGATTGTTATTATATTTCTACTTGATATCTTTCTTTAGTAGACTCTTTTCTTTCTCATGATAAAACAATATTAGGGCAAAACAATATTTCATCTAGAAAGTGAAATTGATAGTGTTACCAGCTGGAATGTCTAACAGGGAATATGTGATCATCAAATATTAGTATATGTAAATTCCTTATGAGCACATAATCATTATGCAAATATAATTATGCCAAATTCCCAGAATAGAGCTTCATGGAACTGTGGTTTTGATTCCTAGGGTAAATTTAACCTTTTTCTCCTTTAGTACTCATATTTATTTTTACAAAATTATAAAATAACATGTTCTCAAAATTTGTTAATTATAGAAAAGTAGAGGAAGAAAATAATTGTCTGTAATTATTTATTCAGTAAATATTTATTAAATACCTATTTTGTGCCAGGCACTTTGCTAAGGATTGGTAGTATAACCATGAAAAAGACATTATCTTTAGTTTTACAGAGCTTAGAATCTGTCTAATGATGAAAAGAGAAAATAGGCAATGACAAACATTGTGTGATATGTTATAATATGAGAAGTATAAGTTTGGTACAGGAACACATAGGAAAGTTTCTAACCTGGAACTGAACTTGAGGGGTTGAGGAAGACTTCTTAATAGAAATGAAATCTAAGCTGCGATCTGAAATTACGAGTTAACCATGTTAAGAGGAGATTGAAAGATATGTCAGACAAAGGAAATTCTATGTGCAAAGGTTCGGAAGTGTTTAGTTATTTGATTATTGGCTGTCTTCCCCATCAACTAGGTTACATACTCCATGAGGGCAGAGTATAGATTTGTTTTTGTACTTCATGTATTCACAGCCCTAGCAAAATACATAGAACTTGGCAATCAATAAATAGTTGAGGAATTGGTGATGGTACATGTGATGTTAAAGATGAAACGTACATGATACCATTAGAACTTAAAATAGAAGGATTTGAAATTATCAAATTGGGAAGAGAAGTGTTTCTCTGAAGAACTGACATGAGGAGAGATTTGAAAGCAAGATTTCAGCTAATTATGAAGTTAGGCAAAAGAAGGAAAGAAAGAACATTCCAGACAGAGCCAACGATGGACCTGTGTAAGGGCCCTCAGGATATGGAGAAGCATAGATGAGGAGGAGCAAAGGAAAGCCAGGGTGCCCAGAGAGCCTGGTAGTGGTGTTAGGGAATAGTATTACGTAGATCAGATTAGGGGGTTTTATATTTATTGCAAGAGCCTTGGGAAGTGGTGGGGAGAGGTAGTGGTGATGTTGGGAAGAGCAATTATATTGTCAGAGTTGACTGGGAAAAAATCGCCTTGGATATGTATGGAGCACGTTTTAAAGTTGGTCAGAGTGGATGTGCAGGTACTTCGAAGTCCATGTGGTAGTTCAGATGAAATGATGGTAGCATGGACTACGATAGTGGTGGAGAGATGGAAAGAAATGGGTGGATCAGAGAGCTATTTAGGAGGGGAAAGCAACAATCTAGATATCATCCTTGCCTTCCCTTTTACCATCTTTCACATCCAGACAAGTTCTTTGATTCTCTCCCTTCAATGCATCCGGAATCCTTTTATTTCTGTCCACCTCCACTTTTATATTTTTGTTTAGGCTTCTGTCAGCTCTCACTTGCTCCCCTTGGGTCTGTTCATCGCTCTGCAGCTAGAATGTTATTTTTAAAATGCAGATGTTTTTGTTATTTCCCTATTAAAAACTCCAGATGACTAAGGGTGAGTCAAAACTTTTAGTATAATGTAGCTTTTGCCATCCCTGGCATACCCAAGTCTTGCCACACACTTAGACTCTGTTTTATGAGTTAGAGGTGATGCTCAAGTTCTGGCTTGGGCAGCTGGGTGGGTAATACCATTCACTCATACAGAGAACAAAGGAGAAAAGCAGGTTTGAGAAAAAGATGATGACTTCACCCACAGATAATAATTATCTATCGAGACATCACCAGTTAAATGATGAAAAGAGGAGTCAATGAAAGAATAGAGTAATTAGAAAGAAACAGCATCTCATGGAAGCCAGTAGAGTAGAGATTGAGAACGAATGGGGTAAGTGGTATTGGTTGTATATTTAATAAATGTTTGTCGAATGATTGAAAATTATTATTTTAAAACCATTTATTTGTCAGAATTATTGATGTTTTAAATTTAGTGACACTCAGGTATTCCAATTACCTCTAATGTTGAATTGTTTAACATTACATTGAAAATTGTTTCAAACTGTAATTTTTAGTTTTGTGGAACTTACAGTGCAATTTATGTTAAGTTCTCTCATGTCTTCATATAAAAACTTATGGCCTTTAAAATGTCTATTTATTTATTTATTTACCTTTTATTTTAGGAAAATTAAAATCTGAAGCAGTTATTGTTGATATTCTAGATAAAGGATCCGGTTTATTACTTCTTGTGGATGGTAACGCATTTCCAGTTCTTATATTTATTGTTAGATTGGTAGAATTTGTATGTAACATAATACTTCACCATAGAAATCATTAATAATGTACTTATCTTCCAATTTGTGAGAAAGCAGGGTAAGCATTCTAAATATTTATAAGCTTTTAGGACATAAGGGGGAGGGAGAACGAGTTGATTGGGGTATGTGTGGGTAGAGTGGGGCATTTCAGAGGATTTGAGACAACATAACCAAAGCACAGAGGGGAGAAATGTGGCTGGTGTAAAGAACATAGAGGAGAATCATGCTTGCGGGAGATGTTTTTGGCAGGAGGGAATACCTAGACAGCCCTCAGCTGATAATTAGGCAGTATTGCAGTTTCTTTTTTCGGTTAGCTCTTTAAGAATTTGGAACATATTTGACCTTTGAATCATTGTTATAAATGGTAGTTAGGTTACTTACCTTGCACATTGAAGCACATTTTTTTTGCAGCACGCAAAAAAATTATAGTAGTTTAGTAAATGTTGAAATACTAATAATTAAATAAAAGCTAAAGATACATCGTTTAAAAATTATTTGTTTTAAAGTTTAAGAACAAAAGAAATATTGTCAAAAATTTTAGAAATTGAGAACAGTGGAAAGTTTAATATTGTCTGGTATTTGGAATATAGTCTTATCATTTTTGTTCTAAATGCATAGGAATTTATATTATGTATACTATTTTGGAACTTGTTTTTACTTAATATATTGAGGACATTTTTGATGCTCTTAAATATTCTTCTGCATTGCTTTTGTTAACTTATAGTATTTCATGACATGTCTGTTCTCTCTCTTTCCTCTTTATTTTTTGTCTTCCTCTTCTTTTTTCGATTTTTATATTTTCTTGTCATTCCAGATGTTGGCCAACATTTGGCTGCAATACTCTAACTTTTCTTTTTGTCTTCTCAAGATTATATCAAATGTAACATACCACATAACAAAAGTTCTGCAGTAACCTTAACTTTAATTTTTAACTATTTTCTCTTGACCTACTCTTTACTTAATTATAGCTTAGTAATGTTTAATAATATTTTAGAATTTATAGATAACGCATAAATGAAATTAGATATCCAATTCCTTGTGTAATAAAAATCTTATATTAAATACAAATTGCTATGATTTTTTAAATTTTTTTGTTATAAGTAGATTTTTCCTTAGTATGCAATTCAAAATCATATTCCTAGTTTTCTAGAGCTGAAGATACAGATAATGCTCAAAATCTCACTAGAAAAT